GGGTGCTGGCGCTGGAGGTTCTAGAGCTGCAGGAGGTGCTGGCGCTGGTGGCGCCGGAGCTGAAGGTTCTGGAGCTACTGCGGGTGCTGGCGCTGGAGGTTCTGGAGCTATTGGAGGTACTGGCGCTGGTGGCGCCGGAGCTGGAGGTTCTGGGGCTGCTGCGGGTGTTGGCGCTGGAGGTTCTGGAGCTGCAGGAGGTGCTGGAGCTACTGGTGCTGGTGGCGCTGCGCCGCCGCGACTGTTCTTCGCTCCGCCGTCACCTTCGTCTCTGCCACCGCCTGGCTCCGTGCTTCGCCAGTTTCTTAGCCTCCCGTCTTCTGCTGGTCTTCCGTTACAGCCTGGCTCACCGCTGCCTGCTCCTTCTCCTTACGCTGAGCTGACAGGTGGTCTTGCTGAGCGTCGTGAGCCTGCGTCTCGTCCTGTCTCGCCTGTTCGCACGGTCCGCACTGGTCGTACTGGTCGTCGTGTTCCTCGTGAGCGTCCGCCGGCTGTCCCCGGCACACACCTCATGGCCTTGCGTCCTTCCTCTACTCCGCAGCGTGTTCCCTTGCCGTCCGCGCCTGCGTCTTCTCTGCCTGACGTTCTAGAGCCTGAGTCTGACCGCGCTCGTGCTGCTCACCCTACTGTCACGCGTCTGCTAGCCACAGTTGTCACTCACCCGTCGTTTAAGTCCACTGCTGCGTCTGCCTTAGTCGTTGAGCTTGTTGACTTTGCTGCTGCCTGTCCTCTAGACTACGCCGCTAGTCTTGTTGCTGATTCTGAGTCTGTCTGTCCTCCGTCTGTCAGGGGTGAATGTGCTCTTGGCACGGACGTCCTTGAGGACAGGCAAGAGGACCTTGAGTGTCTTGCAGCCGCTGCGCCTCATCTCGTGTCCATGCTGCTTGCCCCTGAGGGAGACCCGGATGCTCCAGACATCCCGACATCGCGCTCTTATGCTGAGGCGATCACGGGTGAGTACTCCTCTCAGTGGCAGACAGCCATGGACGCAGAGATGGCATCCTGGAAGTCCACAGGCACTTACGTTGACGAGGTTCCCCCTCCTGGGGCGAACATCGTCGATGGCATGTGGATTTTCAGGGTGAAGCGGCCGCCAGGTTCTCCGCCTGTCTTCAAGGCTCGTTACGTTGCTCAAGGTTTCAGTCAGCGAGAGGGAGTTGACTTCTTCAAGACCTTCTCCCCCACCCCGAAGATGACCACTCTTCGGGTGCTGCTGCACGTTCCCGCTCAGCGTGACTACGAGCTTCACTCTCTTGACTTCAGCACAGCTTTCTTACAGGGCAGCCTGCACGAGGAGATCTGGCTGCGCCGCCCTCCTGGCTTCACTGGGTCGTTCCCTCTTGGTACCCAGTGGAGCCTCCGGCGGCCGGTCTACGGTCTCCGCCAGGCGCCACGTGAGTGGCACGACACACTGAGGACGACACTTCCTGCTCTTGGGTTTGCTCCGTCGACTGCTGACCCGTCGCTGTTTTTGCGCACCGACACTTCCCTGCCTCCATTCTACATCCTCGTGTACGTCGACGACTTGGTCTTTGCCACTGCTGAGACTGAGGCTCTCGCCCAGGTGAAGTCGGAGCTCCAGAAGAGACAGACGTGCACAGACCTGGGTGAGCTGCGCAGTTACCTTGGCTTGCAGATCACCTGGGACAGAGCACGCTGCACCATCACACTGACTCAGTCACACATGGTGCAGCAGGTCCTTCAGCGCTTCGGCTTTACCTGGTCCTCGCCACAGCAGACTCCTCTGGCTACAGGTCACTCGCTCTCAGCTCCACCTTCGGACGAGTCCGTAGAGCCGAGTGGTCCTTACCCAGAGCTAGTGGGCTGCCTCATGTACGTGATGACCTTCATTCGTCCTGACCTTGCGTACCCTCTTGGCCTTCTGGCTCGCTACGTGGCTCTTGGTAGGCACCGAAAGGTGCACATGGATGCTGCTAAGAGGGTACTGCGCTACTTGTGCAGTACATCGGGCATGGGGCTCGTGCTTGGAGGAAGGGGCGATGTTGTCCTCACTGGGAACTCAGACGCTTCTTGGGTTGACGACCTGGCCACGCAGCGGTCGTCACAGGGTTACACCTTCAGCCTTGGCTCTAGCTCTGTTTCTTGGCGGTCTACACGCTCGTCCTCTGTTCTCGGCTCCAGTTGTGAGGCTGAGATCTACGCCACAGCCATGGCTGCACAGGAGCTACGCTGGCTCACCTACCTGCTGACCGACCTGGGAGAGCGGCCTCGTTCTCCTCCAGTGCTGTACGTAGACAACAAGGCCACCATTTCCTTGTGTCAGGAGCACAGACTGGAGCACAGAACGAAGCACATCGCTCTGCATTACTTCCTTGCTCGAGAGTTGCAGCAGCGTGGTCAGCTTCGTCTTGCTCACGTGGCCACTCGGGCCAACACTGTTGGTATCTTCACCAAGGTACTTCCGTCTGGTGATCATTAGCGTTTTTGTACTTTGTTAGGCCTTGTGCCCACGTTTCCTCACTTGCTGTAGACTTTGCTTGTACTGTGATCTATATATATACCTGCATGCTTGCTCTGCTAGGTAGAGATCACTGTGCTGTTGTTGTTGCATATATACCTCTGCATGTGAACTGGCCTTGTGGCCTTTTGCTTGTGCTCAGTGTGTGTGGTGACGTTATGATCCACCCTGAGCTTGCTTTGCTTCTCTTGACTGGTCTTGTGACCCCTTGCTCTCCCCCACTTTGCCTATTGGGGTGTGTCAAAGTATATGCATGTTATATATGTGTAGGCTGTAGTGGGGTAGCCAATATAGGGTACAGCCCCTTTTAGGGTTTGATACTTGTACCCAACTCTTTCATAGTTGATTCATTCCTGTCTCTAGATTTTAACATGTGGGACCCTTTCGCATCATTCGGATGCTGACCCCGGTCACGACGAAATTATTACTCCCGGACGACTGATGAATACACGACGCTTTCCACGTCAGCGTACTCCACCATTACGTGGCTCCGCGGTTGTCCGACGTCGCCCGCCCCAACATCGCGCCAAGTGTTCGGCATGAGGCAGACCCGACACTGCAGCCCTGGAAGTTTTTGAATCATCGCATATGTGCGACGCCATGTTGATTTCCTCCTACGCTGGGTGGATCGCACAGGCAAAGATGACAGGTGGGTCTCAGCTGACTCACTACAAGGCCACTCAGTACTACGAGATTATCTTTCCCGCCGACGCGTGCCTGATGTTGACCACCTTTCTTAAGGGGGGGGGGGGGGGGGGGGGGGGGGGGGGGGGGGGGGGGGGGGGGGTAGTGTAAGGAATTTTCCTAATTCCTTATTGAGGTACTCTGTGCGCGTACAATTCCAACTCTCGGAGTTCAGGCTCGGTCCGACGACCTCGCCTTCCGAACGTGCCTCGCGTCGCCTTCGGGTTTCCCAACCCCAAACCTGCACCCAACCATCTCGCGACTTCGCGACCTCGGCCTAGCTAGCATTGCTATATTAGTCCTAGGCCTCGTTGTATGTTCAGTAGTTGTAACCACTTTCGCGATATTGCATTCTGTGCCCTTTTCTTTCGTACAACTCATAACAGCAACTATTGCACTTGTAACAGTTTCAAGGTCGCCGCTCCCGAACCGAACCCTGACACAAGCTTGAGCTCAACCAAACCTGCGCCAGACCTACGGTTTAGAGGGCGGCCCCAAACGAGTCGACACCGAAGGGCCTACGCAAAACGCGGAGCATCTGTCCTACGCACGGTGACTGACTGACAAGTGTTTGCCCCCAGAATCCAGATCCCAATCGCTCCCAATCAAGCGATTCCACCAAGCAGTTTTGAAGCTACCCTTCTCAAGCAATCATCTCATCAGCAGCTTTTTTCAATCAGTTCTTTCAAGCAGCCATCACTTAGCGGTTTTTTAGATTTAACTATTTCACCACTGCGTCGACACCATGGTCGAGTCTCGCACTCGCGCGCTTTCCGCTCGTGGCCTCTGTAGTATCGCAGTCATTGCCGTCATCTTCGTTGTCTTGCTATTCCCCCGTCACCGTTCCGATCCGCAATGGGCCAACGTAGGCCACGCGTGGGGAGTCGACTGGTCAGCGTTAAATGCTCGCGGAACGTGCCACGTGGACTTGGCGCAGTGCCACTCGGAGGCGACGTACTGGGTACATTCAGTCTCTTGAAAGCCCACGATTGCTAGTTCACCTTGAAGCATCTCGGAATGTGGAGGAGCTCGCACGATGTCGTAAAATATGTAGCAACATTTATTCGGTATTAAGATTTGTCTGAGGATAGTGCGAGGACCAAACATAATTCACCAGAGGTGCATTGTTGGTGGTTTTAGAAATGGTCTGACGTGGTTCTTGTCGCGTCCTCTTGTCGCGTTCTTGTCGCAGGAGAATGTCCAACGGCGGAGCGAGAAGCTGAAGGGCGTGCTGCAGCCGTTGGACCTGGGCACGCGCGGCACGAAGCTCTTCATCGTCAACCCCATGTACGCCTGCCCCTTCGAGGAGCGCCTCGGGGACTGGGGCGACGGCGGCAAGGTGAGAGCGTGAATGCTGGCTTGTTCTTGTAGGCTTCGTCGCGCGTACGTGGAGGGAATCGCGGGCCTCTGGTTCTCTGGCGTGAACAAATGAAGTAATGAATGCATTGAAGTGTGCAGAGACGCACGTATGCTCACGTGTATTTGAAAAGGTTACCCTAAACCCGCTTGGGTGATACCTGGGCGGTGGAACAAACTCCGAACAATGTTGTGCAAATCCGCCTGACTTCCTAAGGGAAGCTGCGGCATAAGATTAGAGTCTCGTTCAAGGATGAGAAGGCCGTGTACAGAAGTAAACAAACATTCATTATCTTGGCGTTTCTCCATTGCATTTTTAGAATCTCATGCTGCACTCCCCGTACGGCACCAAGCACATGCGACAGTGAGAAGCATTGCACCGACTCCAAAGTTGGGGCGTTGGAGGCGAACTATCGCAGGGCCAATGCGCGCTCCTCCAGACGCCTGTCGGCACATTCGTTCACATTGATACAGCGAATCCACGATGTTGCACAACACATTTCGACTCTTCGAAGGAACACCTGTCACCAGCGCCCGTCTTCCATCTTTTCACTCATCCCTCGCTCGTTTCCCTTGCCCTTTCTCCCTCCTTCCCTCCCTCCGTACCCTACGATTCGGGATCGCCATCCCCCTCCCTCCACCGCCGCGTCGTGGCGCCGTGCGCATGGCGACAGTGGACGTGCATGATTCCGGGGATCTTCCAGCGCAACACCACGGTCTACAGGTGCGCTGCCCTTTCCTCAGTGCTTGCCCCGCCAATCCCTCCCGCTGTCGCCCTCGTCTGCTCGGCCCCGTCAATCAACACCTGTGCGTTTGCTCACTGGCGGCTCTCCCTCTCTTCGCCTCTCTTTACTCTCCCTCCCTCCCTCCCCCCTCCTCACCAACCCCCCTCCTTCCCTACCTCACTTGCTTCTCACTTCTTGTGCCCTCATCCTTCTCCAGTCTCGCATCTTTCTTCACAACCCACCCCGTTAACACCACTTGCATGTCTCTGCATGTGCATCACTACGTGCAGCATTGGCAGCCGGGGCTCATACGACTTCGAGGAGCAGTTCGCGAGGGCGCACGCGGGCGCCATCTTCACGTTCGACCCCTTCCTGAAGCCGGCGGTGGAGGAGCAGATGCGCGACCTGCCCTTCCTGAGCTTCCGCGCCATCGGGCTGTCCGGCGAGGCGGACCTGCAGACGTACCGCCGCAAGAACCCCACGAAGCTCTTTGTGACGCTGGCGCGCCTGCTGGCGCTGATGAACCACACGTACGTGGACGTGTTCAAGATCGATTGCGAGGGCTGCGAGCTGGAAGTCATCAAGGACATGACTGCTTCGTATGGCTCCCAGCCCGCCAAGCTCGCCATCCATGGCGGTGCGCTGCCGTTTGGGCAGATCCTCATGGAGTTCCACCAGTAAGACCGGATGACGCTTGTGTCTAACCCCACCTTTCTCTCCTCCCCTCTCCCCCTTTCTCTCTCTTGCTCGTCCCTCCTCCTCACCCTGGATCCCTCGCTCTTTCTCACTCTTCCGCGTCATCTCCCTCTGGTTTCCTCGTCCATTGTCCTTCCTATTGTCTCTTGTCATTTGGCCGTTGGCTGTGCATTATGTCATCCCCACAGGATTTTCCTCCCCTCACTTTGCAAAAGCATGTAACCTATCATTTGCTTCTTGCGACTAGTCAGTCCGCCACATTATTCCCGTGTCACCGTTCCCATCTTTCCTCTCCCATCGCCGTGCCTCCAGCCTGCACAAGCCAGCACTTCTTCTCCCTGCCCTGTATGCACTGGAGAATCTTGGGTATCGCATGTTCCATGCGGAGTTCAATGCAATCTGCCTCAACTGCGTGGAAATCAGCTTCATCCATGAAGGGCTTGTCAAGCCATCAAACCCCGATAGTTGCTCATTTCGAGAAGGGAATTGAGTGTACCTACTAGAATTAACCTGCAAATGATACCCTTTTATGCATACGGTAGTGTCATTATAAATGTGTTTGCCTTAGGCTAGATTGAGTTGCTCATCAATGAGTACAACTCTTAGGATTTGCTATTTGTATCACCTCACTTTCTAGTTCACACCATTCCGCAGTTCTTTCCGTATATTGACTTCGTTGTTAGCATCGGGCTGTAGGTTTAGCCTTAGGATGGCGAGAGAGAATAGGGAAAGGGAGGATTGATTAGAAAGGAGGGTACAAATAGAGGCGAGGGTGGGCGCAAAGGTGGCACCAACACAAGAATGTAACACTAACTACTCTCACAAAAAAATGCATTTGCTGTAGAAAACGAATGATATATCCTAGCCCTGATGATTGAACCAGCTTTAGTTCATTTCGTTTCACTCCTAACAACCGAGCTATTTTCTGGCGGCTTCATCCTAGAAATTGGTCTGGGATGAATTTGCGCGTGTGGCCTCCCCCATCTTTTTAGTCCGCGTCGCACTTTGGAGATTGCAGCCTTGGCTTACGTTCATTGGTGCTCAAAACTGGTGTGTCTGCAACCAATGTAAGGTTTGGGGGTTTTCTGTCAATTTCTGAGGGTCTGCTTCAGCTCCTTCACCCGTTCGCGAGGTAGAGAAGCTCTCCAGGGTCCTCGTTCCCACCACAATCCTTCTACAGTGGGTGTGTGCTTTATGACACCAACACAACCCCGCCTGATGTTGACCAGACTGGGTCGCAGTGAAACACAGACCCATTCGTACCGTTCCAGAACCCAAATTTCCCAACCAGCCTGCCAAAGTCCAGCGCCTCGAGCCGAAAAAAACTCCGAGCCGCGTAGCGGCTCCCACATCCCATCCCAACCCAAATTCCAGCGAAATGTGCGCGTTCCATTGATGGACGGCCCCACCAACTGAAGCAGCAGGACAAAGTACAGGATCACATTGCTATCGAGTGTTCCGTTTCGTTCCAGCTGTTGTGTGCGGCGGGAAGAACGAGCCCGCCCTTGTGATAGACTCCACACTAAGGAAAGTCAAGGCTGCGGGACCAGAAAACAAGGAATGAGAGTTCACGAGTAGAGTCAGCATCCTAATCTCGCTTTTCATAGCTCCCCCATTTGCTTTTCATTGCCATCATCCGTCCGACTCAACCTGAGGTCATATCAGCCATATAGAGGTGATACGCCCTTTGCTTTACAGGCTTCCGTCGAGGTCTAGAGACGTCCTTGGGCCAAATGTCACCATAGCTGTTTCAGGGTTAAGAACAACGGCGCCAGGTCCAGGAAGCTCGTGACACAGGTCCAGTAGCCACTCCCTCCAAGCGCTTGATCCAGCAACTTCCCGCTCCGTCCGCAGGAGCTTGCGTGTCCGTACCCTCTTTCCTTGCTGCGTATACACGCCAAGATTGGGTCCTGAGACATCGGAAAGACAGCACTTACTCTTCATCAGCTCGAACCCTTCACCTTTGCCTTTTTTTCTTGTAGAGAATAGCTTTCCAGTAGCTCGCCACGTGTATGCCCTGCTCACACCACGAACATCCTGTCTAACACCCCGCAAAACGCCAGACACCATCTTTTGCCCGCTACTCGGACACCCCCGGCATTCGTGATATCAGAACCATTCACACGAAGAGAAAATCAAGTGCTATTTCGAAGATCATCGGCGTACAGAAGAATGGCAGAACCAACAACAATGCGCGGCCGGCATCGCCACGTGCTGTCGAGACGACCATCATATCAACCACTGGCGTCGCCGCTGGTGGTAACCATGCTCGCGATAGCCACGGCAATGCTGGCCGTATCGATGCCAAGGGCAGTTGGGATTGATTCGATCACTAGTGCAAGTACGAGACAAGGGAAAGCTCCCCCGACTTCGACGGTTCACGAAACGATAGCGGTTCCTACCCTGACAACGACGCCACGCGCACGTACGTATCGAGGAGAGCTATGCCCTCCTAAACACTTTTCTCCGTGTCTTTGCCACATTCTTTCCAATTCTTCTCCCCTGTTCCAACCAACCAATACCCTACAGCAAGCGCAACCGAATTTTTACCAATCCCCGTCCCTTGCAGCCAAATGCGACTACACGGCGGGCAGGTGGATATACGCCGCGGATCTCCCGCACTACTCCGGCAACCCCGCCAAGACGAATTTCTGCCCGTTCATCAGGTCGTCGTACAACTGCGAGCGCAACGGGCGGCCGGACTCGCTGTACAGGCAGCTGAAATGGAAGGCCAAGGGGTGCGACATGGAATACTTCGACGCCGACGGATTTGCCAAGATGATGAAAAACAAGGTCCGGCGCGCCGCTGGGCTTGGGGTGAGGAGCACTAGAATGGTGCGGAAAAGGAGGAGACGGGGTACCCCTTTGGGTTCCCAACTCCCCAACCCCTCTTCCCCGCCCTCACCAAGCCTGCTCCATCCCGTTCTGTCTTTCCCTTCCTCACCATCCGCCGTCCCCCGCCTCCTCAGATTCCGCCTCCAACTTGTGCTTATCCCTGCACTCCGTGCTTCTCCGCGTTCTCGCCTCCCTCATTCCCTCGCCGCACCCCGCCCTTCGCTCCCTCCCCCGACTAGTGGAAGCGCATGCTGAGGGTGAACGAGGCTGAACCTGCACGATCCGCTGCTGCTCCTTCCCCAACTCGCCCCTCCTCAATATCCCCTTCCTTCCGCACTCTCCCGACCCGCTTCCCGATCCCCTTCCGCACGGCAGCGCATGCTACTGGTGGGCGATTCCATTATGGGCAATCTGTACGAGTCGCTACTGTGCTCCATTTACACGGGCGGACACGAGGCGGAGGTACGGGGAGGGAGGGGGGAAGCGGGGATGGGGGAAGATGAGGCATGGGCGAGCGCGTGCGCGGGAATGAGGAATTTGACGAGGCTTACGAAAAGGGGCAAACGTTGGGGAGAAGGCGGTTTATTCAGTGCCATGTTCCCCTGTCATCCTACTCCTATCACTGCCAGTCTCTGTCAGAACACTATCGCCCCTCGTTTCTCTCACCCATTCTCCTCTCCTTGCCCTCGCTCCCCGACCACTCACTCTTTCCTTTCTTCCCTCCGGACCCCTCCGCACTCCCCCGTAACCCCTCCGACCCACAGAGAGGCCACAAGCCGCTGAACAGCGTGAAGGCGATTTTCTTCCCGACGTTCAACTTCAGCGTCGCCTACTACTTCTCGCCCTACCTCATGGATGCGTTCCAGCAGCAGGCCAACGGCGCCAAGCGCGGCGGCGCGCACGGTTACGTCGTGAACGTGACGTCAGTGCACCCCGTTGTGGTGCGCCTGCTGCCCATGTATGACGTGGCGGTCTTTTCGTCCGGCACCTGGTGGCTGCAGAACGTTCCGGGAAGGAAGCAGCCGAATACTTTTATGGTGAACGGGGTGGTGCAGCAGAACATTACGAATATCGAGGCGTTTAAAACGGGGTTAAAAACCCTCGCGAATCACGTGAAGCAGTCGAATTTCTCGGGAATCCCGTTCTTCCTGACCTTCAATCCCAAGCACGGCCCCGTTATGCGCACAGCACGGGGGGATGGGGCGTGCGGCGCAGTGCAACCCATCGGTCCGAAGGGCGCGTTCAAATGGTACGAGTCGATACGAACAGCGGAGGAGTATTTCAAGATGCAGCGACGCGTGCTAACGAGCAGCAGCAACATGCGGGTCGTGAAAGTAACAAGGATGTCTGAAATGAGACCCGAGGGGCACCTGGGGATGTGGTGGCAGAAGAGGGATAATGTCACCGAAGCATTGGCAACGCCGGATTTGGGTGACTGCACGCACTGGTGCTTGCCCGGCGTGCCCGACGCGTGGCTCGATGTCGTGTACGCTTACATGCGCCTAGAGCCTGCGCTCAATCCTGGCGCTTGAGAATCGAGAGACCAGATATTGGGCGGCTGATTAGGAGTCGGAGGATGTTCAAGTACGTTATGGTGTGGAGCTGGTGGGTGTGGAAGGATCTGTACTCGATGATATCACACCCTGAGTGTCAAGCAAGATTCTAGGTTTGCTAGAGGTGTAAAATCATTGGGGAGAAAAAAAGTCCCCATTATGGTGTGAATCGAGATTTGTGTCTGGGTGATTGAGGAATGATAACCTGACATGTTTGATGATTCGAATTGTTGAGATAAACAAATTACTTATCAGAAACTCGATAGTATATTGCAGTAACAGCATTACCGTAGCAATGTGGCTTTGGTTTGTTCTTTCCATTTCATTCGTAAAGCGAGTTAGTACATATGAGGGTTGGAATGCTGGTTGTGAGTCGTGACTCGTGACTAATCAAATCGTCGTGACTAGTTGTGGCAGGAATTCAGGAGGAAAAAGACAGGCACAGCTGTGCGCTCTGTCCGTAATCATCGCTTGACTATCCGCGCAACTCCGCTGGTAAGTACTGGCCTTCCGCGGGCTGGTTAGCCTTATCGCATCGCACTCTACTCTGCAGGATCTGCGCGGGTTTAGCTTCGGAGTAACGTAGGTGTCTCTTGGAGACCAGCGTCGCTGTTGCATGTACTAGATGTTCGTTAGTCTCCCAAGCGCTACTTTTCAATTTTTGCATGTAGCCGCACTTGTGCGAGTCCCGCGGTCCCAGTTAAGATTCTTTGGCAGGCTATATCCTCCTCCTGTCAGTCGTATCCCTTGTTTCCGCCCGCCTTAGCTGATCCCTTCCCTTCGTCGACTTACTTCTCCCTCAGTCGGGTCTCATATCCCTCCAACTCCCCGCACCAACACGCATCCTCTCACATTCCTACACGGCCCCAACACCACCGTATGCTTTCTCTCTCACTCACCTTTACCAGTCCCTTCATTCCCCCTGTCCCACCCTCTTGCCTTGCTTCATCTCATCCCCCTCGTGGCCAAAATTCCCCCACCCCCGAACACATCTGTTTGCTTGTTTCGATGACTCCTTCCCTCCCCCCTGTCCTCCCCTCGCCCGCGCCGTGCGCCAGGCATGGGGGTGGGCGCGACGATAGTGCGGCAGGAGCGGGTGGTGGGCATGGCGAGTGGCGTGGGTGCGGCGGTGGCGGCGTATTGGGGCTGCAAGCTTGCCGTGTGGCGAAGCACCGCTGCCACGGGAAGAACCATAGCCAACCAGACCGCCCCACCTGCACCTCCTCCGCTTGAGGTCAGTCAGATGAAAGTAACGGGTGGAGGATTGGTTTCCCAGGTGTGTGTGTGTGTGTGTATATATATTTTTTTAATGGATCCCGTTCCTTTTTGTTACAACTGCTGATTCCCGAGGTGGCCATGGTTACGACGCTGAGTGTGTGTTCCTTGTTCGAATGATTGCTTCCGGCCATTTGGTTGGAGGCAGGCATGGGCTTGGCAGAACAGCTGCCATTCCACCTTGTGAGGGCGGAGTACCACTTGAAAGACTTAAACGTAGGGTTACGCCTCACAGGATTCGTCCCAGACCTTCATTCGGAGCTTCTGTATACTTGCATGGATTGCTGAATTGGCACAGTTTCCTGGCAAGCAAGTCTGAAGCCATCTGTCCTTTTCCTCTCTTTAGCAGCAGCTGTTGCCATACACCAATAATCAGCTCGTTGGGAGTCCCATTAGGAGTGTCAGCACGCTCCTGTTCCATTCTCATCCCATCATTCCCACCCCTCCCCTCTGCCTCTCCTCCCTGCTTTCCCTGGTCCCCACCCTGCACTGCTATTTCCCGAGTTGCTGTGTGCAGACATCGGTGCAGCTGTTTGGACCGTCCTTCAGGCACAGTGTGGCACGCTCCTGGAACACGGCAGTTGACTCCTCCCTTGGTGCGCTGGCCGCTGCCCTTAGTCGATATGGCTGGTGATTTGATTTGACCGCAAGGGGTGGATGCACACAGGAGTGTATATGACAGCTGATAATCTGGAACTTAAAAAAAGGATGCAGAGATCTTTTAATTGGGCCGGATTTAGATTGTGCAAATGGAGGCGTGCACATGGCTGACTATATTGTGGGTAAAGAGGGAAGTACATTATTTTCGTTTGATGTGTAGAACTTGTAAGTGCTAGCGGTATTACAGTTGTTTGTAGTAGTAATTGCGGACGAAAAGTGTTACAATACGGCTTTCGCACAACCAGCGCCAAACGCATAAACCTCGCAAAGAACCCGAACCCTGATTCTCACCATACCCTCTTGCCTTTCTACCTCTAGGCATACCCTTCTTCCACCCTCATCAACCTAGCGAGTCCACCCCGTTTCTAACCAGCATAATTGGCACACATATCCCCGTCCTCGCTCCTCTCTCTGAACTAGTTCCCCACCAACCGCCATGCAGAACCCCTGGCCGCCTCCGCAAGGGCCCATGGCACCTGCTCCGCCGACCAACGCGCAGCCGTATCCGAACCAGCTTCCGAACCAGATGTACGCGGGCCCGTACCAGGCCGCAAACGGAGGTTCGGCAGCAGGATTCACAGGGCCGGGCGGGATCAGCGCGCAGTACCCGGCAGGTCAACCTCCCGGTATGGGCGCGCAGTGGAATAGCGCGGGCGGGGCCGGCGGTGCGGGCGCGTATGGATCGCCTGCCGGTGCCGCGACGACGGCAGGATGGTCGTCCGCACCGCCTCCCATGGTGAGCCTCTCTACCGCCCAGATCCGAAGATGCTCACATGCATGCATGCTCGCATGCAGTCACGCACGCTCGTGGATAGCACGGCCGGTGGTGGCAGCTTCACGTGGCAAGTGGAGTGGAGCTCTCGTTTTCAGTGCCGGGCGGCGAACGCGCGCTCAGGAGCGAAGATGATGGTTCGAGATGTGCAACGAAGCAAGGCGATATACGACGCTGAGTATGCAGGGTGCGAATCATGCAGACGCAAACGACTGCATGCACGAGTCTTTTCCACCGCCGTTGAACTCCGCAAATTCGATCCGCAAGCAGATTTCTCCCTTTTCTTGGGTCTTAGTTTCTCCCTTGTCTTGGTCTTTCGTTGTTGATCATCCCGGCGGGTTTTCTGAAGTGCGCGCATTCCACAGTTGTTTCTCACTCGCATCTCGATCCATTCGCCCGTCATAAATGGTCTGCCCCAGTTCTCCCTCCCCTCCTCCGTCCAGGCTCCGCCCATAAGGGGAGCGCCTGGCTCCGCGCCTGGTGCGCCGTTTCGCCCCCCTTATCCGTCCGTGGGAGGTGCTAACCAGAGCCAGCAAAACTGGCAGCAGCCGGGCATGCAGCAGCAGCAGCAACCATTCTTTCAACAGCCCCACCAAGGGCCACAGCAGCCGCCGCAGCAGCAGCAGCAGCAGTGGCAGAATCGCCCCCCGGTACTTGCCACCTCTGGTGCCGTGCCAATGGGCTCCCCTCAGAGCAAGCTTATGGGTCCACCCTCCATCGCCGCCCCTCCTCCGTACCACCAGCAGCAGCAGCTCCCGCCGCCGCAACAGCCACAACAGCAGCAGCAACGGCCACAGCAGCAGCCACAGCAGCAGCCGCAGCAGCACTATCAACCTCCCCAGTCTTACCCTACTGCGTCTCCTCTTCCCAATTCCAACTCGTCCTCTTTCCCGTACCCTTCCATGCCACAGCAGCAGCAGCAGCAACAACAACACCAGCAGCCGCCGCAAATGCAACCTATTCTCACCGCCCCTCCCCGGCCTCCCCCACAATCGTTCCCCCCCCCTTCTTCCCCGTACCCCCCCGCCCCAGTCCCCTTCCCATCGGCTCAAGCCCCCACTCCCCCTTTTCAACGCCCCTCTGCTCCCTACCCCCAAAACCCCTCCTTTTCTCAAAACCCCCCTTATCCCCCGAACCCTGCGTTTGCCCCTCCGCCCATGGCGCCCCCTCCTTCCCCGGTCGCCGGAGGTCCCCCTCATTCTTCCGCCCCCCCTCCCTCGCCAGGCGCCCCTGGTCGGCCAGGATGGGGGGGAAGGGGGGATGGGGGCAGGGCAGGCGGCGGGGGAGGGAGAGGGGGGTGGAGGGATGGGGAAAGAGGAGGAGGGAGAGGAGGCGGAGCGAGGGGCAGGGGCGGGGAAAGAAGTTGGCGTGGCGGTAGAGGTGGGGAGGGGCGGGGGTTTGGAGAGGGAAGAGGTGGGGGGAGAGAGGGCAGGGGGAGAGGGCAAGGGGGGAGGTGTGGCGGGCGGGGGGGGTGGGGGGAGGGCAGGCGGGATGGGGAGGGTAGAGGGAGATTTGGGGGCAACAGAATGAACGGCGGCAGTCAGAGTGGCGGCATGCAGGGTGCAGCATCCCCTTCGTCAGTGGGTGTACCTGCATCTGCATTCCTTGCACCCCCATCACCAGCATCCCTCACACCATCATCACCAGGACCACCTGGGGTAGCACCTCTCCCTGCTTCCCCATCACCAGCATCACCATCACCATCAGCAGCAGCAGCAGCAACAGCAACAGTGGGAACACCAAGAGCAGCAGCAGCAGCAGGAGGAGGAGGAGGAGCAGCAGCAGGGGCAGCAGCGTCTCCGTTCATGTGTGCGCCATGCGACCGGTCCTTCTCCTCGCAACACTTCCTCACTTCACATCTCGCCACGCACGAAGCCTGTGACTCGCCAGGCTGCTCCTTCTCTGCCTGCGGTAAACCTTCCCCCTCTCCCTTCCCCCACTTCCCCCCTTCTTTTGTCCCTTCCTGCTTTTGCAACCCACCGCTCCTATTTTCATTGCGCCCACCAACCCCCCCCCCCCCCCTCCCCCTACTTCCACTCGCCCGCTTCTCCCCGTCTCCCCATTCTGTTCAATCCTTGCCCGTTCGTTCCTCTGTTTGACCTGTTCCTTTCCGCCCCCACCACGCTTCTCAATACCCGTCTTTGTTTGCTCCCCCTTTGCCGCCCTTTCCCCTCATCCAACCCTCCCCTACCACCTGCTATGCGTGCATGGGATGGCCTTGTGTTGAGTGTCAATCCGCCCTCCTACTCACTGTTGCCACTGTGGCCTTGTGATGATGGCATGGCATGGCACGGCATGGCATGGCATGTCAGGGCGAGCGCTCAAGGACCACAAGTCATCAGTGCACGATGCCCCTTCCTCTGCTCGCCTGAAACGGTCAGCGCTTGCTCACCAACTTGCCACCTCTGCTTACCCGCTTGCCCCCCCCCCCCTCCCCCCCCACTCTGCTCCCGTTCTCATGCTCTTTCATGCCAACCGTGCTTGTTGTCAAGCCCGTGCCGCGGCCACGGCATGAATGGGACGAGACAAGGCGAGTGGGCACAGGATCGACTACGTGCTCCTCGAGACGTCTCAAGAACACGCTCCTCCACGCCATGCGTGCGGCCCACTTTCCAAACATTTTACCACTTGTTGTGCTCCACTCGTCTGTCGTCCCACTCATTCCCCCATCACGCCCCTCTCACCACGCCCCTCTCACCACGCCCCTCTCACCACGCCCCTCTCACCGCGCCCCTCTCACCGCGCCCCTCTCACCGCGCCCCTCTCACCGCGCCCCTCTCACCGCGCCCCTCTCACCGCGCCCCTCTCACCGCGCCCCTCTCACCGCGCCCCTCTCACCACGCCCCTCTCACCGCGCCCTAAATCAGAGCATTGGAGTACCGCAAGAAGGAGAGCCCCGAGCAGCTCGCCAAGTGGGTGGAGGAGCGGCGCCGCAACTTCCCCACCGCCGCCAACCTGCAGCGCAAGGTGCCTCCCTGCTCTGTGGAGGGGTGGTCGGGGGAATGGGGGAGGATTCAAGGGGCTGGGGGCTGGGAGGGTGTCAGGTGGGGACGTGAAAGGGAATGCGTGGAAGGTTTGTTTGGTTATGGCCTTGCTGGTGTTGGGTTGGTGGTGCCTGTAATCAGTGCCCTGATGGCCCACGGGCCATGTGCAAGTGAGTGGTGGGTGGTGGATGGGTGGTCGGGGAAGTGCAATGGGCTGTGGGACATGTGGTACAGTGCAGCGCAGTGGTTGGCTTGGTTGCTGACAGTGCAAGATTCAGCACTTCGTGCTGCGCATGGGCAGTCCTGTGGTAGTCCAGGCATGTGTGCCTGTTGGGGGTAGTGTGGGTTGTGGCCATGCGGTGCACCTTAGAAGCTCCTGTGGTTCTGTGTTTGTCGGAGCATGTGTGTATGCTGCTGCATGGGAGAGTGCACAGATGCGTGCAAGCATTCTAAGCCTTTTTGTGGGCATGTCGTGGGTGCCATATGTGCCATGGGTGCCATGGTTGCCATATGTGCCATGTGTGCCATATGTGCCATGGGTGCCATGTGTGCCATGGGTGCCATGTGTGCCATGGGTGCCATGGGTGCCATGGGTGCCATGGGTGCCATGGGTGCCATGGGTGCCATGGGTGCCATGGGTACCATGTGTGCCATGGGTGCCATGGGTGCCATGGGTGCCATGGGTGCCATGGGTGCCATGTGTGCCATATGTGTGGCGAGCAGGAGGAGGAGGCAAGGAAGCGCAAGGAGAGGGGCGAGCTGGTGGATGAGGACCGCAAGTTGAGGCAACAGGTACAGCCTTTCCAGCCCCTTCCATTCCTCTCCCTCCCGCTCACTCTCTCTCCCTCGCTTTCCCTCCCTCTACCTCCCTCCCCCTTCCGCTCCCTCCCTCTCCCGCCCTCTTCCTCCCTCCCCCTCCTTCCCCCTCCCTCTCCCGCCCTCTCCCTCCCTCTCCCTCCCTCCCCCTCCCTCTCCCCCCCTCTCCCTCCCTCTCCCTCCCTCTCTCTCCCTCTCACTCCCTCTCCCACCCTCGCTCCCTCTCTTACCCTCTCCCGCCCCACCCTCTCCCGCCCTCTCCCTCCCTCTCTCTCCCTCTCCCTCCCTCCCTCCGTCTCCCTCCCTCTCCCGCTCTCTCCCGCCCACTCCCTCCCTCCCTCTCCCTTCCTCTCCCTCTCCCTCCCTCCACCTCCTTTCCGCTCCTGCCCCTCCCCTCCTCTCCTCCTCTCCCTTCCTCTGTCCTCCTTACCCCTCCTCCCCCCTCCTCTTCCCTCACTCTCCCCGCCTCTATCCTCCTCTCCGCTGCTCTTTATTCATCCGCCTTCCCTTCTTTCCCATTGCTTTCTTCCCCCTCCGCATTGCCACTCGGTCTTTCCCAGCCATTCCCTTCCTCTCCCCTTCTTGCTCTGTTTCTTTTCAGCCTGCCCCTTCCCCTCCCGCACCCGCGCTGCTCTCAAAATCCCTGCATCTCACTTTCCCCCATGCGCGTTTTTGTTCTGTCCGACCGTATTTTCCAGCGGCTAAGGGAGGTACTGGCCCTCCAGGCCAATCTGGGACTTCCCATCTGTGAAGTGCCCACGCACCTCCTGCGTGACAACTCGGAGAGGGGAGGCAGGGGGAGGGGAGGCGGGAGAGAGGGTTGGGAGGAGAGAGGGGGGCGAGGGGGGCGTGGGTGGCGGGAGGAGTGGAGGAGGAGGGGGAGTGGAGGGATGGGTATGCAAGGCCGGGGGCACTGTGTGTGGGAGTGGGTGAGGATAAGTAATGAGGACGAGGAAGGAGGGAGGTGTGATATGAAGGAGATAAGCACGGTTAGAAATGGGAGTGGGCAGGAGGAGGGTGGGGCTAATATGGAGGAGAAAGAGGGAACTGAACGACTGGGGAATGGGGAGGAAGAGGAAGGTAAACTGGGGGAAGTCGAGGGAGGAGAGGTTGGGTTGGATGGGGAGGGAGAAGGGGGGTTGGGTGAGGGAGAAAGGGCAACAAAGGTTTTGCGAGTGAATGGTACTGTGGATGTCAGCAGTGCTGCTGCTGCTGCTGGCGATGCTGCTGCTGGTGCTGCTGATGAGCTGGGCAACGGAAACAAGAAGGAAGGGGATTTGCTAGGGGGGTCGGATGACGAGAGTTTTGGGACTGCCGAGGGGAGTGGTGATATAGCAGAGCCGCATGATGGAGTCGGTGATGGAGTGGGTGATGGTGAAGCATTCGCAGTGCAAGAGGCAGTCGGAGTGGAGGACGAGGTTGGCATGGGCGCAGAGGAAGAGGAAGAGGAGGAGGAGGAGGAGGAGAAGGAGGAGGAAGCGGGAGTGGGGAAAGGAGAAGAAGGTGTAGGTGGAGGAGTGGTGGTTGCAGGTGGCGGTGTGAGGAAGGATGGTTGCATTGGACCGGTGTCAGCGGCAGCAGCCACATCAAGGGCAGCAGGGGCAGCAGGGATAATGGAAGCAAGTGGGACAGGCAAGGTGGCAGAGGTGGGGCAGCCAGTGGAGGAGGAGATGGTGGAGGAGGCAACAGCACCACCTGGTGATGGTGACGGTGCTGCTCCAACACCCACTGCTGCACCTACAGCTGCTGCTGGGCTTGCTGCTGCAGGCAAGGCAGCTCCTGCCTTGACAGCTGAGCCGACGGGGGTCCACACTGACAGCCGCTTTTCCGCGCAGCAGGCTGTGCGGTCTTCCACAAAGCGCGTGTGCGCTTTCTTCCTGCGCGGGCACTGCAAGAAGGGCGCTCGCTGCACCTTTGCCCATGTCGCTGACCAGGACTGGCAGCAGCACACACAGTGGGACGAGCAGGGGCAGGGGCAGCAGGGCGGGTGGGCAAACCAAGGGCAGGAGAGGAGCCAGATGAGCCATGGCAATCACGGTAACCGGGACAACCAAGGGGATTTTCGGTCGCCGAGCCTGCTGGCGAGGCTGCTGGAGAAGGAGGTTCGGCGGGAGCGGAGCCATGTGCTGCAGGTGGTGCGGCTGGTGGTGAATAATGACTTTTTGCTCGCCCACCCCTACAAGCCCCTGCAGCTCTTCCCCTGGGCGCGTGATGAGGGCCCGCAGGGGCAGGGGGAGACGGAGGGCGAGGGGAAGGAAGAGGGGCAGGATCAGGTGTAAAAGGAAGGATTGGACTTCTGGGGCGTGGGGGAGTGGGGCAGAGTGATGGGTCTGTTCTTATTGACATGCAGGTGGGCGTTGCCCCGGGACCTTATCGTACTACTTTTGGTTACTGTTGGAGGGGTTGAGGAGGATGGGGGAAAAGAGGGGAAGAGAGGGAGGGAAGGAGGAACAGCAACAAGGCAAAGTGCAAGAGTAGAGGGCTGGGAGTGCGTACTCGGAACGGGAACCTTTGTCCTCCTGCGTATGACGATAAATGAGCTGATGATTCGCGTTTCTTAGTTTGTTGTAATGATTGATTCAACCAGTTATGGTAAGCCAATACCATATGTGCTTATGAGAAAGATCGCAAGAGGTCCCCCAAAATTTACTCTATTTCCACTTTCTTATATGAAATTTCTACAAGCATCGAGTTTTCCCCTTTTTGTAACGAGGGCAGGCACCACAATTAGGGCGCGTGTCTTTTGGTGTAGATGTTCAAAAATATGGTCGACCTTTTGCTGGTTACTTTTTTTTAGCATTTCGTATCGAGCACTTTACGATATTCGTGTGTCCAAGTTCAATGATTGATGAAACCGAAGGTCCATGAACTGGGGTCGAATTTTCACGTGCCCGTTTATCCAAACGTGTGTTCTTCCTCTCGTGCACAGTGAATTTACGATTTCCGCGACAGTAACAGCTGACAACGTACCACGTTACTGAATTTGGACTCGATCACGAACTACGCTGTCAAACCAGGTAGCCAACGAAATTTGTGCGTGACTCGGGTTTTACTGTATAAAGTCGAACTTCTAAAGTCGAACTTTGTTGTGCCCCTTGCTTGATGCGAAATGTGATGAAGAAATTGCCTTCCAAAAGTCGAGATGGTCGACTACAAGTCGATCAGAGTTCAAACGAGAAAATTCGAGAAAAAATATGAACTTTACCATGAATTTGAAAAGACACGCGCCCTTACGGCACTGGAGCGCCAACTGTCAAGAACGAACTTGACGGCTTGACTGGTTGCTATGTGCCAACTGTATAGCGATGCGAGGCACCGGAGCGTGTCCGTAGACGGATAGCTCACTCCTCACCCTACGATCAAGTCAAGTTTCACAGTCTACCGGTGTGCCACTGATCTCGGTCGCTCGACCCCACCGTACCCGTTCCTCATTAGAGTCCAATCCAATACCATGATGTTACAACTTACAAAAGAGCTCATCATCGTCCATCGCTCCAACGATGGGTATCGTTGGATTGGATGTTGTTTCAGCCTCCCGCACCGCAACACGAGCGCCAGGCTAGATCATCGCGTCGCGCCCTTTCCTGTCCACTAATACTCGCGCAGCAACAAGCACTAGATCCTCATTTCAAAATCACTGCTTTGCCTTCCACTACTACCACCAGTAGAACTGTGCTGCTAACACCAGCATGCAGCACGCAGCATCTCTCGTCATCCTGCTCTGTAAGCACTACAGTGGTGATTAATAATCAACGATGCCCTTCTCGTGGTGATAAATGTGTCTGCTGTTTGCCACAGAAACCCTTAGGTTCTGGCGGTTTCATGTCAAACGGTCTCTCCTCAGCATGATGCTCGCTCGCGCCCTGCCCGTCCGCCAGGTGCGGCGCTCCTCACTGCCGCGGCGCCTGCATCAGCCCTTCCGCCTCTCCTCCCTCGCCACGGCGGCAGTTCCGCCGCGTATGCCGCTCTGGCGAGGCCCCTGAGGTTAAAGGGGAAGACCGTCCGTGAGTGTCTGCAGCATGCTGTACTGCCGCCGCCAATGCTGTGATCACGCAGTGCTGCTTTTTGTTGCGGTACTATTAACAATCAGTCGCTGTAGTGTGCTCTGAGAACGGATACGGTACACGTCCTACAGTCTTATCCGTCCCTTGCTTCCCATGCGCCTTTGATCTCTGCCATTTCCATGACCAGAGAAATACGTGACCAAGCTGTATCCCACTAAGCTCAACGGGAAATTAGTCGGCGACAAAGGTGCATCGGGGAAATTTGTCATCAAGGCAGTGAGGTTCGCCTTTGATCTCTGCCAACAGTGGTGCAACTTCCACTCTCACACGATAGGGGACCCAATTTCGCAGTTTGTGTCCCCACCCTTTCCCCTCCCACGTCATCCCCTTTTTCGCGATCATCTCTCTCCATGTCCTGTTGGCAGATCCTCCTCAACGACATACTACATTGTATACATTGTCAAAGTCTTCAACATTAAATCCGGAGGTTACCCTTCCGTTGGCACCGGATCTTCCTGTGCTGCCACTGAGCTAGGCGCACTTCCTTTCCCATTTAAGAACATCACGAGTGCCAAGAGCGGTCGCCGAAAACGATACAGCTTCGCATTCTCCGGGGCTCAGGGACCAATGACTTTGGAAGAAGCATACGGCGGGATTGTTGTTGTACTGGTGGATGGCCTTTTTGTTAGAGTTGGGTATTCAGCAAACATCCAAGCACTCTGTGGTAAGTTAAAGAAGACGGTGTCATTGTCTCATTGATATCCAAACTGTATTAAAATATTATGTTTGAATGGTCTTACTTCTCATGAACTAGGATATTTCGGTAGAGATTCCAAGGGGCTGTATGGGGGGTAGCCTGTATGGGGTACAACCCAATTAGGGTTATACTTGTACTCAATTTGATGTCAATGCAATCAATCCTGCTCGTTAGTTTTTGACATGGTATCAGAGCAGTAGGTCCGTAGGACCGTTTTTTTCGGGCCCACCATTACCTAGTGACCGACTGCGGTTACCGCGTTACCCCACGCCCTGCCCTGCGCTGCGCCTATAGCGCGCGCCCTGCCCTGCCCTGCCTTGCGCCGCGCTGTCCCGCGCACGCCCTGCCCTGCCCCACGTTGCGCTGCCCCAAGCGCGCCCTGCCCTGCCCCGCGTCCTGCTGCAGCTCGCGCCCTGCTGCCCTGCGCGTCGCGCCCTGCTGTCCTGCGCGTCGCGCCCTGCTGCAGCCCGCACGTCGTGCCTTGCTGCCTTGCGCCTCACGCTCTGCTGCCTTGCGCGTCGCGCCCTACGTCTGCCCCGCACGTCGCGACCTGCTGCAGCCAGCGCGTCGCGCCCTGCTGCCCCGCACGTCGCGCCCTGCTGCAGCCCGCGCGTCGCGCCCTTCTGCCCCGCGCGTAGCGCCCTGCTGCAGCCCGCGTGTCGCGCCCTGCTGCAGCCCGCGTGTCGCGCCCTGCTGCAGCCCGCGCGCCGCGCCCTCCTGCAGCCCGCGCGCCGCGCCCTGCTGCCCCGCCGTCGCGCCCTGCTGCAGCCCGCGCGTCGCGCCCTCTTGCAGCCCGCGCGTCGCGCCCTGCTGCCCGCACCGCCCAGGCCGAGTCGTGCCGCTAAGCCCGAGCCGCCCTTCCCAACCCGATCTACCGTGCTGCTGCTGCTGCTGCTGCTGGTGGTGGAGGTACTCCTAGGAGTGCTAGAGATGCTGCAGCCTAGCCTCACCGAGCCGCTCTGCTGCTATTACTTCTGCTACTGCTGCTCGTGCTACTGCCTTCCCTCCGTACTGCCCTACTGGTCGCACGCCTCCTTACTTGGCCCGTTATGACTTCTCTTCGTGGTAGCGGTCGGAGCGGTGACGGCGGTGGTGACAGCAACTAGAGTGGTGGCGGCGCCCGTCGTGGCAGTCGCGGTGGAGCTGTTCGGTGCGGAGTTTCTGGCGGTGGCCAGATGCAGCTGCTGCGGCGTCCGCTCGAGACCCTTACGCCCCAGCAGCTTCGTGAGTGGTACGCCAGTAGGTGTGGTGGCGGCGGCCGTAGTAGCAGTCGTAGTGGAGCTGTTCAGTGCGGAGTTTCTGGCGGTGGCCAGATGCAGCTGCAGCGGCGTCCACGCGAGACCCTTGCGCCCAAGCAGCTTCGTGAGTGGTACGCTCAGAGTGGGGGGACTTGGAGTACTGTCCAGTGTCCGTACGTCATTCGCACAGGTGATCGGGCTGGTCAGACTTGCGGGACACTTAGTCATACACTGGCTCGCTGCTTCGCATGTCTGAGCGATGCATGGCGTGCAGTGTTGGCGACGAGACTGAGCACCCCCGCTGGCTAGAGCTGCATAGGAGCAAGGTGGATATCTTTGCTCTAGACTATGACGCTATCCACACTGCCATGTATGCTTTGTCTATTAGGGTGACTATTACCTGTGTGTGCCGCCCGACCCTGGTATAGAGGCTGCTGCTTTAGGTGCTGGTGAGTCTGCTCTAGGTGCTGGTGAGTCTGCTCTAGGTGCTGGTGAGTCTGCTCTCTCTCTGGTACTGCGCCTGCTAAGGCCTTGCACACCTTCACGCTTGACTCAGGTGCTTCCCGTTGCTTCTTTCGCGACAGCACCACAGTCACACCGCTAGCAGCACCGGTTGCAGTCTCTCTGGTTGATCCCTCTGGGGGACCGGTTCTTGCACGTTCCTCCACTGTTCTCCCATGTCCGGCGGTTTCGTCTGGCTCACTGTCAGGTCTTCACCTCCCCTCATTCTCTACGAACTTGGTGAGCAACGCCGTCCTTCAGGATGAATGGGTTAATACCTTTACTCCTGGGGGACAGCATGTCGCGATCTGCACGTGTGCACGGACGGGCCGTCACCTAGCCACGTTTACCCGTCGGCCTGGGTCGAGCCTGTACACACTAACTACTGAGCCTCCTCAGGTAGCTGCGTCTGCGTCCGTGTCAGGTCAGCTAGCAGCCTTCAGCTCGTGTCGCGCCCTGTCGCATGGCACCACCACCTTGGTCACCCCTCTCTGCCACGCCTCCGTGGCATGCACTCTCGCTTTCTTGTCTCCGGTCTTCCCAGGTCTCTGCCTCCCCTCCCACCCTCGCCTGCCCCTCCCTGCCTTCCCTGTGTCGAGGGGCGGCAGCGCGCCGCTCCTCACTCCTCCTCGTTTCCCCCGACGACTACTCCCCTGCAGACTCTCCACTTGGACGTGTGGGGCCCGGCCCGCGTCCAGGGACAGGGCCGTGAGCGATACTTTTTGCTGGTTGTTGACGACTACTCGCGTTACACCACGATCTTCCCCTTGCGCAGCAAG